CTCCCTCCCTCCCTCCCTCCCTCCCTCCCTCTCCTTCCCCGTCTCTCAACACACCTCTCCAGACTGAGGCTCGGTCTCCCTGACGACCATCTTGATGAGGGTAGTCTTCCCCGCCCCGTTGACTCCCGTCACACCGACCCGGGAAGCCAGGCACAGCTTCAGGCTAGCGCTCTGGATCTGAGGCCTGGCGGAACCAGGGTACTGGAAGCTGCAGTCCTTCATGGTCAGGATGTTCTTGGTCGTGGAGGTGATGCCGTCGAGGGGGCCGGGGTTGGGGAATTTGAACCGCAGCGACGCCGCAGCAAGTTCGTAGTATGACCTGTGGTGGCAAGCAGGGGGTTGGTGTTGGATCTGAGTGTCGTTGTGAGGTGTTTGGAAAACAGGGGGGGGGGGGGGGGGCTTGTAGGAGGGGTAGCAGACATACAGCCGCAGCCACGGTGCCAGTTGCAACAACAGCAACGACAGCAAGAGGAACACACACACAGCAACAGCAGCAGCAACAATACCGGTTGCACCTACAGCAACGACTGCATCGACAAGCAAGAACATCAGCACCAGACGACGAACAGCAGCAGCAGCAGCTACAACAATACCCGTTCCAACAATCACAACAGACACGACAGATGGGAACAATCGACAAGCAGCAGCGGCAGCAGCAGCGGCTACAATGATAACGGTTGCTACAACATCGTCGGCAAAACACTCACTTTGCCTCGGGCTTGAGGCTGATGAAGTGCTTCAGCCCCCCCGTGGTAGGGCACCAGCTTGAGTGTCTCGTAGTGCAACACGTCCGTCACCATGTCTTCCAAGAAGCCCGTGTCGTGGGAGACGCAAATCACCGTCACGTCCTTAAGGCCGGTCAGGTAGTCCGTCAGCCACTTGACGGCGTGGACGTCGAGGTGGTTCGTCGGCTCGTCGAGGAGGAGCACCTGATTCGCCCCCAAGGTTTCATTTCATGGAATAACCATGGTTTAATGGTTTCAACAACAAGAGGGCCAGTTGGTTTGTTTGAGTATTTCGGGCAGGGTGGTGACGCTCAGGCCAGCACCTGGATCGTTCCATGGTCATCAACAACAAACAACGGTTTACTAGACGACAACAACAACAACCGTAGAAGCAATACGGTCGAGAGTAATGAATAAAATCGAAAAACAAACCACAGCACTCCGGCCACTCGTGGCCTTGTCCAAGCTGATTTTTGTATCAGTCAAGGAGGGGGCTGTTGCATGAAGTTGCCGTTTTGCGAACGCTTGTTGTGGGGGAGTTCACGTTGTAGGGCAAGCCTGGAGGTGAAACTCCCAGAAGTACAACTACTGCTGCACGGCTATTCCCGTTTGTGCAGCATGAAAAGTCCGCTTGTTTGCGTGCGTTGCGGAGATTGACTTCTCCCTACCAGCACAAAAATATCAGCGTCATGAGAGCGGTACTGATTTAAAGGCCAGAATAGTGCTTCATGAAGAAGACAAAACACCAACTCATCAAAACAACCACCAGCACCACCAGCTTTCACTCTCAACAAACACACTCACGCCTAACGCCAACACCCGCATGAAAACAACAACAACAACAACAACAACCCCCACCACCACCGACACCACCAGCTTACACCCCAGACACACTCAACCACAACACCAACGACACAGCGGGCGGAAGGGGCAACATCGTACCTGTACCTAGGGTTAAGGTAGGGGTTATTTGAAGGGCTAGACTTAGGGTTGCCTTGCGTTAGGGTTGCCGAGGGATAGGTTTAGGTTATAGGGGTAGCGTTAAGTACCTGGGCTTCCTGCAGCATCGCGCGGGCGAGGGCCAGCTTCATCTTCCACCCCCCGGAGAGCGAGGTGATGGGGGCGGCCTGGCCCTCCTCGCTGAACCCAACCTCGGCCAGCGTGGCCGAGACCTTTTCTCTGGAAACCCCCTTCAGCTCCTCCACGTTGCAGGTGTAGTCGATGATGCTTGTGTCCACCTGCGGACCAGGGAGGAAGAACAGCAGTAGGTAGAGGATTGTTGGGCGAAGGGCGCTGGGTTGCGGTCGGATACATGCGCCAAAACACCGCTACTGCGGAGTAGCAATACATGCTCAGCATGCTTAGGACCCTCGGCCATCAAACAGTGAAACGTACAAAAAACGCAGCTGGCCTACGCCGATTCGCACCGCATATGGAGTAGTGACCGCCTGTTGTGAAGCACAAGTCGGAAACATAAATGCCTCAAAACTCAATATTTAGTGAACGAACGGGTTGCGCAAAGGTTAAGCCTTGAGAAACAAAAAAAGAAAGTTGTGCATCTTGTGTGTACCGGCAGACTCTTAGCCCATACCAGAAAAGGAGAGCGCAAGCTCTCGACGCGGCATACATACATCTCTCTAACCACGGCACACAAGAAAAATACACACCAAAGATCGCCTCCATTGAAACCCCCATCTGGCATCCCCAAGCCCACACCCACGCCACCGCATGCCTCGCCATCAAGCTGGCGGGATGAACCCCCCCCGCCCCGCGCCCCGGCCAACTGTGGCCACAATGCTCCGTCCTCGCGAGGAAGCGTGGTCGATAGTCTAACAACCATGGTATGCTTAGCCTACATAGCAAACAACAGTACCATCTGTGCATGCATACTGCACACCCTAACATGAGTACAACCCCCCACACACACCCAAACCTTGAGCGCTTTCTTTCGAGTCTCAACGGCATCTCACGTCACTGGCGACGATGTCGTGCTGCACGAAAACCGTCCTCAGCTCCGTGGGCAGTCCGTCGATCGCACCGTTGGCGATGTTTCGCATGAGGGTCGTCTTGCCGGCGCCGTTGGGGCCAAGCAGTCCATACCTGCGAACAGCCACGATACAGACAGATAAGACACGGGGGAGAGAGACAAAGGGTGACGGGGAGATAGCAAGAGAGGCGCAGGCACGGCGAAGACATGAGAGACAAAAGGTGGGGTGGAGATACACAACCATGGCACGCTGCAGCGCCATCATCTCAACTGTACCCAACGCCCGTCTTGACAATGAATACGACAAAAGAACAACAACACGCGCGGGGTCGAGAGCTTACCGGTGTCCCGCCAACAGGCGGAGCCCGGGGGGGGGGTTATTGTACTGAACCAGTACGGAGGCGCAGGGAAATCTCCAACTACAAAAAAAAAAAACGAGCGGGGTCCATAGCTAAGCTTACCGGTGTCCCGCCAGCAGCCGGAGGCGGGTGTTGTGCAGCAGGATCTTCCCGCCGTAAGCGAGCGAGAAGTCGATGTTGCATAGCTCGGCGGCATCGCCCTCCTCCACCGCGTCGGCGTATGAGTGAGCCACGGGCAAGAAGGAGTCGTAAACCAGAGACGCGTCGGCTTCCCCCATGGAGGACCGGAGGTACGGGAGCACGGCCTGGACGCACACGAAAGGGTCGGCCGCACGACAAGAGGGAGACCGGGCCAAAAAAATACAAGGCGGGCGGACGCACATACGAGAGCCGGGCGTACGACAAGAAAATAAAGAGATGGGCCAAAGAAAAGTTGTATCGACACACACACCAGAGCCGGCAATACGGCAAGAGAGAGAGCGGCATAAAAAAAGTGGGCGTCGTAGCGAGCGGAAGTTCCCTGAAGAGGTACAGGAGAGCCGCGCGTACAGTACGACAAGAAAGAACGGCCTGCGGTAACGATTACAACAACAAGACAAGGGATTGACAGTAGTATAACCCTCCTGCCACCAGGAGGTCGCCCCGCGTCTCCCCCCCTACTTGTCCAGGTTTTCCATCGTTGCCAGAAACACAACAGGAGCAGAGCCGCAATCCTATAGATTCGAATTCGAAGCGAGACCGTACGGCAACGACACCTCCAAGATAGAGTCGAACGCCCAAAAATTCCGGCCAGTTTTTCCACCTAATAGCACACCCGCATTGCACATAACACCGCCCAACACAAGCAACCGTCACATACCGAGGGATAACCTCCGCACGACCTCCGAGGGCTGCGAAGCAGTATAGACGCCATGAAGATGCAAAGCCCATGTAGGGTTGGACGTGTGTGTGTGTTAGCATCGACTGTGTGCGTGTGTGTGTGGTGTTCAGTGTTGGGCAAGCAACATACGAGGCACACAGTAGCAGCAGCAGCAGCAGCAGCAAACATGGAACGCACCTGCTCCCAGTTCTCGTTGATCGCGGGCCCCGCCTGCCCGAAGCCGTGCAGCACAAGACTGGCGCACAGGCTGGCTACGTAGGCAACCACGGGGTCGGCCGGGGGAGCCGAGCTCGCCGCTCCCATGGCCCTCTCGATCTCCTTCCTCATGTCCGCGGTTACCTTGGCATTCTCCTCGTCCGTAGGGCCTTGTTTTTTTTTTCGGGGAAGGAGGGGGGGGTGAATCGAGATCAGGGGGGGGGGACCTACTTATGTTGGGATCTCGAAAGAGTTGGACATAACTGCGAGGTTGTGGTTTTCATGCTTCTCGACGTCTACATAACTGGAGGCTGCGAAACCTCCCAGGTCTATCTTCGTCACGAGGATGGAGAGAAGCAAACAAACACATCTGTGTCCAATGCCAACAGAGACGCACCCCAGCAAAACGCGAGGGATACGAGCATACGATAAGGGGACCGGGCGGTTAGGGCTCGCCGAACACACATACCTACAAATGACCACATACACGGTGGAAGGACCACCGATTGCACCCGTGGGCTGCTCGAAAGACCGGGGGGGGGGGGGGGGGGGTAA